TCATATGTATGAAGGAATATATCATTGTGAAGATATATGTATGAAGAAATATTAGACAACCAGCATTTCCATTATTGAAACGTGTGCTCTTTTTGTATTGTATGGTAGGATCTGATGCTACAAGCATGTTGAGTGGCTAATACTAAAAAAATCTATATTGAACCATGTACGCTTATGTGTGAAAAGGATTTTCTTTCAAAGGATGTAATGAATTATATCATATGTTGGTTGTTGGTTTGGGATGAAAGTATTCGTAACATGTATGTTTAAGGTTGATGAGTAATTGATTTATGTAGCAAAGTATCCATGAATGAATTGAAAGGTGAGTAGATGATAGCAAGGATTAGATTGATAAGTATATGTGATGAACCTAGTCAAGTGGCAAGTGTGGGTTTTGAAATTGGGGAATTGTTATGCTCCAAAAACATGGAGAAATCAGACCTATATATATTTGTGATCCATTAATCAGGTACCATGAATTTGTCATTCTTTGATTAAGGACCACTTTTGCAGTCAAAATTTACTTAGAAACATTTTTCGGAAATCATGATGTTGATAAATCTGTAATAGTTTTTAAAAAATTCATTTCGGGAGTTGTAGAACTCCAATTGGGGCATATTTTATATCAACGTAAAGCCCCACACATCCCCTACAACATATTAAAATTTCAGGGCAATTGGGTTAGAACCTTATTTTATATGAATTTATGAATACAAACTTCTAGAACTGGAAAATGAAGAACAGTTCCGGATTTGACAAACTGTTTGACTATTTATTGATGAATTAATGTTATATCCGCTCCAATATATATAATCTTATCAGGGGTTTACTATGATGTGATTTTATTAATCAGGCACTTCCCTCACCATGGCCAGTTCCAAATTGGAAGATGATGCTCCTAATAAAAAAGATGGTCAGAGATAGAGAAAAGGACCTACGAGGGTTCAAGTCAATGAGAGCCTTGATAGGGAGGAATATTTCAAGTTCACCTACTTAAAATTATTATCCATGTGTATTAAGAAGAGACTTATGATCTTAAGTCTGCAAAACTTATCACTCTTAGGTTGTAGTACAATATATATTTATTGTACACCGCTCGATAGTTGTGTAAGCCATTTTTAATACTTAGCATAATACATGATATGGACTTCTGTGCATTTAATGTATTGAATAAAGAGCACTAGCAATGATATGGACTTTTGTGCATTTAATGTATTGAATAAAGAGCACTAGTAATGCTTTGTTATCACAGAGTACTAGCAATGATTTGTTGTCACAAAGCTAGTTGAGTTCATCGAATGATCAACATGTTATACCTACCCATCTGACACTCAGATTGTCACTAGCAATTTCTTTTTCTTTTTCAAAAAATTTCGACGCAATTCTTTTTCCGTCGAAAACTCCACAAACTATATTTTTTTTTTTTTTTTTTTTTTTCAAAAAATTTCGACGAAATTCTTTTTCTTTCGAAGATTTACGAAGGAAAAAAAATTCTGTCGAAAACTCCACAAAATATAATTTTTTTTCTTTTATTTTTTTTCAAAATTTTTCGACGGAATTCTTTTTCCGTCGAAGATCTTCGACGGAATCAACATTTCGTCAAACAATTCACAAAATATAATTTATTTTTCTTTTATTTTTTTTCAAAAATTTTCGACGGAATTCTTTTTCCGTCGAAAACTCCACAAAATATAATTTCTTTTCTTTTATTTTTTTCAAAAAATTTCGACGGAATTTCTATTCCGTCAAAAACTCTACAAAATAAAATTTCTTTTACTTTTAGTATTTTCAAAAAAATTTGACGGAATTCTTTTTTCGTCGAAGATTTTCGACGGAAAAATAATTCCGTCGAAAATTCCGCAAAATATAATTCTTTTTTTTTTTTCAAAAAATTTGGACGGAATAAGAATTCCGTCGAAAAATCCACAAAATATAATTTCTTTTTCTTTTATTTTTTTCAAAAATTTTCGACGGAATCAAAATTCCGTCTAAAACTCCACAAAATATAATTTCTTTTTCTTTTATTTTCTTTCAAAAAATTTGGACAGAATTCTTTTTCTGTCGAAGATCTTCGACGGAATCGAAATTTCGTCGAAAACTCCACAAAATATAATTTCTTTTTCTTTTATTTTTTTTCAAAAAAATTCGACAGAATTCTTTTTCCGTTGAAGATCTTCGACGGAAAAAGAATTTCGTCGAAAACTCCACAAAATATAATATAATTTTATTTTTATTTTTTTCAAAAATTTTCGACGGAATAGAAATTCCCTCGAAAACTCCACAAAATATAATTTCTTTTTCTTTAATTTTTTTCAAAAATTTTCAACGGAATTCTTTTTCCGTCGAAGATCTTCGACGCTTTCAAAATTCCGTAGAAAAATTTGTACGGAATTCATTTTCCGTCGAAATTTTTTTACGAAATCTATTTTCCGTCGAAATTTTCGACAAAAATCAAATTCCGTTAAAAATTCCGACAATAATTTCAACGGAATTTTTTTCGCCGAAAATAAAAACATTTCTATTAGTGTTTACAATGCTCAAGAAATAAATTTTCCTTGAAAAACATATTTTTAAAAATGTAAAATAAACTAATAGCTTATGTGAAGAACATTTAAAGATTCAATTGCTTGAATCCAAGATGAAAACATAAAATCATTTTGTTCATTATCATAGTCCGGATTTGGAAGTGCAGAATTGTCAACAGACCGGTAATTTTGTCAATAGGGGTGAACGTGACTGTAAACAACAAAACATGCTATTTTTCTAGATTGAGAGTCGAATCTTATTATTTGTAAACAAAATAAATAAATAAATAATTTTTTTGATGTAAGAACATAATAAAATCAAATTTCTCCTCTAACAAAGGATTGGGGTCACATATCTATTAAATAAAAATTTTATAATTATAGATATTTGATTTAACAAATTGCATAATGGATGGGTATATGGTAACTTATTAATCCTTAAACTTTAAGGAATGTCTTAAGTAAACATTCCTTCCATTGAAAGTGTTGTTAACTTATTATTGGTGAGTTAATTCTGACTATCCATTTATATTAATTTTAAACCTTTCGATTTATTTATTATTAAGAATTTTCTCAATTTCAAAATATATTAAATGTAAAAGTATATGTTATTCATTATAATCCATGAAGATATCTTTTCTCATATATCTCCTTAATATTTCCACCATTTTCTCTCACTTTCAAGAAATATGTCAAAACCCAAATAAGAAAAAACCATTACAACTCAACCCTTTGCTCTTCCCAATAACACAACACAACACAAGTCACTCATTTTTTTTCTTCCACTTGTCTTTCTAACCTTGACACCCTTAGCTTGCATGTATTCTTAATTAGCCAATTTATTCAACCTGTTATACTACACTTTTGATTCTCAGCTTATTGATAATCGTACGTACCAAATCAAGCTCAATATTTCTATAGCCACTTTAGATAAGGTTATTTATAGCTACCTCAAAATTTATGTCGTTTTGATTAACAAAGGGTGTTTATGTAATTTTAGGTGAATTAATGAAGGGTGTTTAAAAAGAAACTTTTTAGATTTATACAAAGTACGTCAGGTCATACTTTGTGTAAATCATTTAAAATGAGAGAACTTGTATCCTTTTAAATAATATATATCTGTTTAAATAATAGGGAAAAGTTCACCAATGCTCTTGTGGTTTACTTCAGAATCACTTATGCCCCTGTGGTTTGTAAAAGAGTATGTTTTTTATCACATATACTCCTGTGGTTTCTTATTTTTTACAAAGCACAGGAACATATGTAATAGGAAAAAAATTACAAGAGCATAAATAATTTTGAAACAAACCACAGAAACATAAATGATTTTGAAACAAAATGAGCATTGAATAATAATATACGGTGGAGTTGAAGTGACGCCTTGTAAGAGGTGATTTCACTTTGTTTGTTGGTTTCCTCGGAAAACCCGTTTTAAAGCTGCTGCTCTTTGTTTTGCTCATCACAAAGTCAATAGTAACGCCATTTTTCAACCACTCTCTTCAAAATTTTACTCAATATCAGGGAATTTTTTTGGAAGTGCTCATTAAACACCTTGATATAACCTTGATATAAGTATATCCCCGTCTTTTATTCATCTTAAATGTAACATACAAAGATATTAAATGCTTAAAAAATCAAATAGTAAAAAAGTATAAGTTCTTAAAGAGGTGTTTGGTATGCGGGATTTTGAGAGATTCTCGAGAAACTAAATTTTTTTAAATTTTAAATTTTCAGATATTATTATAAACTGAATGCAAAAATTATATTTTTGAAAATCGAGATTTCCGGACAAATAAAAATTTCTCCTGTATCAAAAGCCCCCTAATATTATTATGTTCTTGTTTTAAGAAATGAAGAAGGCATATGATAATTTATTAAGTTAATACTATCACTCTTACCTTATTATAACATTTCTCTATTACTTTTTGATGAATCCTCTTATTAATTTTCTTAATTATTAAAAAATAAAATATTATATTTTTAAATTCACAAGAAGAAAGTATTGATTTTCATTTTCCTAATCTTCCTAATGCTCATATAAATATATATATATTCTTCTAACAAAATTGTTATACATTTTTGTACTTAGAATGATAAATAAGTCTTAAATGAATACGTAATAATATTTCTTTAAGTAATTTGAGAAACTACTAGGAAATTTACGAAGAGGATATATAAGGTAATTGATTTCAGATTATAGTATATTATTTTTCATTTATGTTAGATTAATTTTTTTTTTTTACCTATATTTTATTTCGTCATTAAGTAGGTGTTTTTAATGAATACTATTTTAAATTCAAACTGAATTTAATAGACTGAGAAAATAAAATCATTGTCTTAAATAAGAAAGAGAAAAGAGTGAGCTGTCAACTTGTCACATTCATGAACGAAACGTCTATTTGACAAATAGCATTAGTGTTATATATATATGTGTGTGTGTGTGATTGTTAAGAGTGGCTTAGAATTAGAAGAACAATGGCATCTCCTGAAGCTGCAAGATCTGAGAGCTCCCAAACAGTGGTGAGTATTCAAGAGCTTGCAAAAAAATCCATAACCTCACTTCCCCAATTTTCCTATATGGTTCGAGACAATGACGAACGTGGTGCCATAAATGAAACCCTTTCTCCTGAAATTCCAACTATTGACTTTGAAAAATTGATTCATGGAGACTCTACACAACTTGAACAAGAGAAATTGCACTCAGCTTGCAGAGATTGGGGTTTCTTCCAGGTTTTATATATATAACACTAGATTTTTTTTTTTTTTTTTTTGTTGAAAAGTTTTATGACACTTGCTAGTTATTAATTCTATATATTTTTCTTACCATCTAATTTCCCCCATATATCTTTTTTAGAAACTATTACATTCAATTCAACCATAATTTTTATGTATAATATTAATGGACCTTGTTTTTCTGAATTTACAAACTATATATATGTATATATATGCATGCAGCTGGTGAACCATGGAATGAGTCCACTAGTAATGAAAAAGGTTAAAGATGAGATAGAAGAATTCTTCAGGCTTCCCTCAGAAGAATTGATGAAGTACAAACACAGGCCAGGTGAAGTTGAAGGCTATGGAGCTGTAATCAGATCAAATAAAAAGCTTGATTGGGGTGATAAATTATATATGATAACCAACCCTGTTCATAGGCGAAGACCACATCTCTTTCCAGAGTTTCCTTCATCACTCAGGTTTATACACATAATAATTAAATCATGCATGTTACACATATATATATATATACCACAAGACATGCATATAAATATAATATTTTTATATGTGTTAATTATTCTATTCAGGACTATCCTTGAATCATACATAATTGAAATGCAAAATCTGGCCATAACACTTGTGGGGTATCTGGGAAAGGCCATGATGATAGAAAAGAGAGAGATGGAAGAGATGTTTGAGGATGGGCAGCAAGCTATAAGAATGACATACTATCCTCCATGTCCACAACCTGAGCTTGTTATGGGGATAAGTGCTCATTCAGATGCATGTGGATTCACCATCCTTAACCAACTGAATGGAGTGGATGCCCTTCAGATTAAGAAAGATGGGATTTGGATTCCAGTTCATGTCATGCCAGATGCTCTTCTTGTCAACATCGGGGATGTTCTAGAGGTTTGTAACGCCATCATCATTTCTTGTATTTTCCATAAAAAAAAATTTATTATTTAAAAGGGCGAATTGGAGCAGTGGTAAAACTTTTTTCATGACTCAAAGGTCATGGGTTCGAATCCAGAAAATAACATCTTTACAATTATGCAAAGGTAAGACTGCGTACAAAAGATTCCCTCCACCCCACACGTTTAATGGGGTGAAATAACATATGTTTTGATATATATTTATTGATTTTTTATTCTTTTTCTTTCTCTCTCTTTCTTATTTTGTGAAGAGAAATATATATCAAAACACGTCCTTTCATTTAAAATGATAAACTTTTTTTTTTCATTTTTTAATTTGAGGACGAGTACTTGAAACAACAATAAGATTGTTTCTTGGATATGCAGATGATTATTAAAAAAAAAATATTCCAAAAAATAATGAAACTTTAATTTAAGTGTTTTTTTTTCGAAAGGTGATGGATGTTCTTGAATATGCAGATGATGAGCAATGGAATATACAAAAGTGTTGATCATAGGGCAGTGGTGAGTTCAGACAAGGAAAGGTTATCACTGGGAATGTTCTTTAATCCAAAGTATGAAGCTGAGATTGGACCTGCAGTGAATCTCATAAGCCCTGAAAATCCTGCACTATACAAAAGGATCGGATTGGAGAAATATCTAAGTGATTACTTCTCTCGTAATATGATTGATGGAAAGTCCTACTTAGAGAATATGAAGATCACAAATGAAAATCCTGTCAACGCTACTCTTAAGCACCAGTAATCACTTATGTATAAATAAGTTGCAGTCTACAACTGCAATATTTCTGTTTAATTAGCAGCTATATATATATAAAGTAATTGGATCTTCTATCTTATGTTAGGGGAGAGAGACCATCCAAATCTAGCTAAATGGCATAATTGTTTCGTTTACTTTATTTGATTTTTATTATCGATCTATGAAGTGCAAACAATAATTCAATTAGCTATTCTAAGCAGACTACATAAAGGAAAATCTAAGATGTCAATACAAATATACTTTTTTTTTTTGTAAATTGTTTGTCCAAAGAAATTATAAATAATCTAATTTAGGCATATTCTATTATTTAATTTTTAGTCTTAAAATATTAGAAAAAGATATATTTTTTTTTTAAATATATGAATTATAGACTTTTATAATTTACAAATATATTGACAAGCTTAAAATGTATATAAGTTTTTCTTTCTTTTTTGAGTTTTCTCAAGTATCTCCCGGCCAAAAGTTGACGACTAATTCTTTTTCGAGGCGTAGAAATTTTTTAGGTTTTGTATAGAAGTCTTTTTAAAGATGAATAAAGTTGGATTTCTCATATTCATTTTTCAGTTTTACCTTTAATAATTTAAATTTGTATTTACAAATTTTACCCTTTATCGTAAGAATTTATCCCAACAACAAATTATTTTATCCCCTTTTAAAATTTTGAGAATAATTTTATATAATCACCAAATTTTAACTTTATTTTTCTAAACTTTAACCTAGAAATAACTTTTAACTAAAGTAAAAGATGCTTCTGTAAATAAAGATTTTTTTATTATTGCACTTTAGTCCATTATAATTCAATTTTTTTTGAAAAAAATATCAAAACAATTCAACACTGAAAAGAATTATCAAAATAATGTAATTAATTCCGCATTGCAAGGGTACATATTTAGTGCACCACTAGGATTAGCCTAGTGGTGTTAGATGTGTGTAATGTGTATTAGGTTGCAAGTTCGATTCCTGTAATATTCAAAAAAAAAGTACAAATTTAATCACGATCAGACAGTTTAAACATGGTCAATTTTTATCCAAGGGATTGAGATAATTTATTATGTTGACCGGTTGCGTATGAAATTGATGCGTGACTGCTTCTGCGACGCTTAAACCGTGGCAAAATAATTATAACTAATTAAAAGTATGTCACTTAGCAACAACTTATTCGATCAATACCTAAACACAAACAAACTCCATGCATGATTTACTTGCACATTCTCCTAATGCGTACTTTACTGCATTATTTTGATAATTCTTTTTAATTTTGAATTATTTATATATATATTTTTTTAAACAATAATTAAATGGTGAGAAAGCTTATTTATTGTCCCATTATAAATAATTGTCTTTAATCTCAGGAATTGATGGCATATAACATCTCAAGTTACCACGATGATAGAAATGAAAGATATAAAAAGTTTTAGAGGTTTGCTTTTCTCCTTTTATAGGACAATTGTTAAATTTTCGGCTGACACAAAAAAATGGATCCATTATTTTACAAAAAAATAAGCATAATTTATTATGTTAGTGCAGTAAAAAAAATTACTTTCGTGCAGGATAAGAAAAAGTTTACCTAGTTTATATATATGGGTTCTGGATCACTATATTGATAGGGCTTACATGAACCCAATTTTTTGGGCTTTACCTTAACAAAACGGTTATTCGTTTATATAAGATAATATCTTTTAGATTATATTCATAATTCTACAATTGCAGCAATAATTATTCAGCTATAATTAGTAATTACTTTGTACGAATCCAATTTAATTGTATTATCATTCTAGTTTTCTATTGATTTAAGCGTAGAGTTTCGATATATACACACTTATTATCTTACCATAACACCACCATTAACTACAGTAAAAAAATACCATATAAGTAAATCAGCGTTATTCAGGTATGAACAATATGCAAGCTATGATGGGATTCAAAAAATTTCGCGTCATGATATCTTATTTGATATACATAATATAATTCAACTTAGTATGATATTGGTTATTTTCTATTAGTTTTTTATATATTTTTAGACAAAGTCAATAAATGATTGTAAGAATGTTTATTCCGTTGACTTTTTTTGAATTTTTAAAATTTCATTTTACTAAATTCAAACAAATACTCATTGTACGCCATCTGCCAGCAATAATTATAATGGATATTCAAAGTAGGAAATAATTGTGACAATATTAAGTGCCGCCACAATTATATGTTCGCATATCATAAGGCATTTCACATTTTGACTATGACATGATTAGCCTTTCATGGCTGGGAATGAGATAATAATGGAATAACTGCTACAACCAACTTCGTTTCATTTTCATTTTCACAAAACCAAGAGAACTAAAATTCTAAAAGGAATTGTATTAAAAAAAAAAAATTCTAAAAGGAAGAAATGGACAATAACACCCCATGGGTGCAGCTCAGTTGGTAATTTGGCGCTGAGTTAGTGGGGTTGGATATGTGTTCGATTCCTGCTGAATGCATTCTTGTGGAGGGGGCTGAACCTTTAGCCATCACTGTTCCCCCGCACTCCGGATTAGTCCCATAGCCGGCTCAAAGAGTCGAAGCTCGTGGAGATACCGGAGGGAGCCAACTCGTCTCAGAGAGATAATTAGGGTTGGGTAACTCCAAAAAAAAGAAATGGACAATAACTCTATCGTTTTATTCACTAGCGGAAAAGATTATTTTGGTATTCAATTTACTATGAATATCAACAAGTTATTAACGCTTTTATATTTAACAAACTTTTTTTTTTGGCAAACTATTTAACAAGCTTTTAACTATTTATCATTAAATCAACAAACAACGGATATTGAACCATTCACTCAATGAATAAAATTATCATACCACCAAGCATGTTGATCATTGTTTCAGCTTAATCGGTGTTTTCAAGTTTAAATGTTAGATATGAAACTGTAAACTTGACAAGGAGAATTTTATCATTCTTGTAAGAGTTTTATTAATGTTATCTAACATAATGTAAGTGTTGTTTCTAACTCTCACATCAAAAGGGAGAGAGAAAGTGGAATGATGAAAGAGGAAAAAAAAAACATGTGGATCCCTACTCTTTAATGTGTGTGTAGGAAAGTGAAATTATATTATGTTAAATGATAAACATAAAACCCTTCTTGTAAACTATCCTGATGGCTTTAATGTTTCTACGATAAAAACAGATAAATTATGTGGTGAGGTGTAATGCAGTGCAATTAGATCCATTTTTTGAATTTTTTTTTGGAGGAGGGTTTGTTATCCAGATTATTATTATATAAATCTAAATTTAAAATAATTTATGGTTGACTTGGTTGAATAAATCAAATAAAGCACCTAGGCTCTGTTTAAAAAAAATCAATTGGTAACTCTACGATTACTACTTTTATTATTTGTCATATATTTGGAAGAAAATATAAAATACAAAATTCAGAAAAAGAAAGAAATAGAACAAAAACTTGCGATATTGTATATGCAAATAAAAATCGAGCGGATCTTTTATTTTGGGTTGAAAGATTAAAAATTATAATATTGGAATAAATTTAATTATAAAAATACCTTGATTTTCTCTTCAAAATGACATTATTTTGACCTCAATGCAGATAACTTACTTACATTCACTATAGAAAAAATGAACCCTTAAATTATATGTAAACTTAAGATTATTCAATAATCAATTAATATAAAAATAATTTAAATGTTAAATTTAAAAATTAATTTAGAACAATATTTTTATTTTAATCGAAGGAAAAATCAGCTTAATTTATAAAAAATGTCAACAACTCTAAAATAATCAGCTTATACTTATAATCAAGTATATAAGAAAATATTTTTCAATAAAAGTCATTTTCCAGGGCAAACGAATAATTTGCGGATTATTAAAATTTTAATAATAATTAACAAAATCCTATCTCTATTATTATTACTAGAAATCAATCCTTTTCAAACATTGACTAATATAATTAATTAAAATCAAATAAATTGGAAGGTTTGTTTGTTTCAACTTTCAACGATCATGCCACCCAATTCTGACAGACAAAATCATATCGCCACCTTCGTCATGTCTTTTTCTCTCTCCCATTTGAGTTTCTGCGGATTTCAAACTCTTCCATTTCAATTCCTTCATTCAACGGTAATTTCATTATCCTCTCTTTTTCTCTGTAATCCACCTTCACAATTCTTAATTTCTATTTGTTTCATTCATTTATTTATTTTTTGGGTTCCTTTTCTGATCGTTGATTTCTTAAGGAGAAGGTTCGGTTGTTGCGAACGTTAGTCCTTGATTTCTTTTTTTTTTTCTCTCGTCAATGGAATTTTGATTAATATCCAGAAATCCAATATTTTCTGTCAGTTTTTGAAGCATATGCATTCTTATCCAATTCGTTATTATTTGGTTGCTGAGAAAAAAATTGTGGAACATTTTGGGGTTTGCATCGTTTGGAAAATGAAAATGGAGGGTGCCTATTATTTATTTTAATTTATTGGTTATGAATGAATAATGTTTCTGCTTCTGGAGCTACCAACTAGCTACGAGGACATTGTATGTAAATGCATGTATATGTCTTGTGCTGCTATAAAAAAGTTTAATAAGTAACAAATACGACATAGCAATTTTGATGTCTGCTAATGATACCAAAAGCTGACTATTTGTTTTGTAATTATCACTTTTAATGTTTGATCTATCTATCTCCCCCCTAGAGATTAGAATAATCTGCAATAGAATCATTGTATTGATCATATTAATTATTTAAATGTTCTTTTTTTTTTTAATATTTTTCGGGGTCAGTAACTGAGGATTATTGTAGTGGAAAAGTCTCACTGTTACAGGTTTTCATGGATTTTTTTTGTAAGTGTTTAACCAAATATTTCTTTCTTCCTTTCCAGGTAGTTTAGTAGCTGGGCTGCTATTATTTATTGGAGTTGCAGCTTGGATGGCAATGAATAATAAAAGATTGGAATTTGCGAGGCCTGCCTCGAGTATGCCATGATACCTAATGTTATACTTCCTCTATTTCATAAGGCAATTGATCCTTTCATGTTATTTATGATCTTAATTATTCATGGTCAAATTCACGGTTATCTTTTTTCATTCCCTATTCCCATATTTTTTCTCTCATCATTCATCACTGTTGATTTGACCATGAATATCTAAGATTGTCTCGCATGATATGGTCATGTTAAATAACATATGATAGGATCCATTCCCATTTGATAATATTTGTCGTTTAAACATGGTGTACAGGAAATCAAAAGTAATTAATTAACCTCCAATAGAGCAAAAAATTATTATATTTTAACTGATTTATTCTTATTAAAATTTGATTTAAATTATCATATGTATTTGTGATTTGATTAATTGTCCACTATTATGCACTCTCTTTTCATTGAAGGTCATTGGTAATCTAAAATGACAAATAGTTTGAAATAAAGTAGAACTTAAAACGATATTGTGAAGGAAAGGGAGTAATATTGGAAAAAGCTCATCGATACTATAAGGGTGTATTCATCCAATTTTCGTGGGTTAAGATTAAGGTGCACTTTTAATTAAATCAAGTGTGAACACACCTTACTCACTTTAGGTACAAGATCCGTTTAGAATGAGCCATATTCATTTAATGTAGTGCTGACAACTGAGTGAATAATATAGTTGCCTCAAAACAACTTCCCTCTAGCTCTACTAAGTTGGGAATGGTTGATCCTAATGGGGTATTGCAAGCAGATGTGAGAATAGGTTATGCGGCCCTTGAAGAACATACTAATGGGCTATAGCTTGGCATGCTTTAGGCTTGGATTGGCTGGTTTAATAAACAACTTATTATATATCTTGGGTTCATCGACCACTAATCCCAACTAGTTTGGGATAAAGATGATATTATGTTGATGTTGATGTATATAGCTTGAAAGTCAAGGCCTAGGCCATTGGCTTGTTGGCTTTTTCAAAAGCTTCAATGCAAAGTAGGCATTTTGATAAGCTTTCAGGTTAGGCGAGGCTAAGAAAAAGGTCTATGTCTGGTAATAGGTCAGGCTCAGACTTTATATTCGAAAACAAGCCTAACCCACTTAAGGCAAAGCTAGTCTTGCTTCTTTCCATGTCTAATTGTGAAATGCAAAGCTATTTTCACTTATTTTTCTGGAGAAGTTGAATGATTGGCAGGTCTTTTACAGGTAAAAGAAGATTGAAGGATTTATTGATTCAAAAAGATAATCGCTTTTGTGCTGATTGTGGTGCTTCAGATCCTAAATGGGCGTAAGTGTGTGAACACTTTTTACACATGATTTTTTTGTGGTTTATGGTCATGGTCATTGTAAAGAACCTTGGGATACACCACCCCAAAAGCTAGCTCAAAGGGTGGGAGTGCCCAAAGCCTTATAAACTCCACATTAGTTGCACATACAACCAATGTGGGACTATATATCTCAACACGTCCCCTCACACGAGAGCCCATTGGCTTGAAGAGTGGATGATGCAACAGACCCATTCTACCTGTGCTAAGAAATTCCACAAGAGAAAGTGGGGGGCGGCGAGGATCGAACCCGAGACTCGAGGCTCTGATACCATGTAAAGAACCTTGGGATACACCACCCCAAAAGCTAGCTCAAAGGGTGTGAGTGTCCAAAACCTTATAAACTCCACATTAGTTGCACATATAACCAATGTAGGACTATATATCTCAACAGTCATTATAATACTCAAAACTGAGGTTTGAGTGTTGAGTATTTTTTGTGAAGGGTTTATGAGACATCCTTTTAGTTAAGCTGTAGGAAACTAGCTACATGAATTGTTATATAATGAAGAATGTAGAATGCATATTACCTTAACTGTGAATTCATTTTTCGAACTGCTGCTTCAGGTCTGCTAACATTGGAGTTTTTGTATGCTTAAAATGTTGTGGTGTGCACAGAAGTCTTGGTACTCATATATCAAAGGTAACCGTTCTTGATCCACTTTAGGAAAGAAGAATTTCTTTTTACTAATGAAGCGCATTTATGCCGAGTTCCTTCTCCATTTATCTCAAACTAATTGAAAGGCTAATAACTTATATATATGACTAGTTATTTTTTTTATAACTTGTGTTTGGAATGGGTTCAAATTGATTTGATGAGAAAAGAATCAATCACTCTTATATGGCTGTACTCATGAAATAAGTCTGATGAATTTTGTTTTGTATTTGGGTGCATTTCTTTTCATTTTTACTCACTTATGCATGCTTGCAGGACATGTTGTGATATCTTGTGAAACTCAGGCAAGAGAAACACTAAAATTAGTGATATATGAGATTAGAAGTGAAAACTTTAAAAACAAGGGTTTCTTTTCAGTGTACTATTTAATTAATTATCCTCTAGTGCATCTGTAATCACTAACCATTTTCCTGAAATTTTCTTAGTTGTCAAAGCATGTTGTATTTCAATTTGAGATTCCAAAGGCATTTTCTGACGTGAAAAGAATTGCAGTTACTTGTGTTATATGAATAAGACAAGTAGGAATGGAAATCAATGTCTTATAGATAAACTCAAATTATCAAAAGGAAGATATCTCTCCTCATGTCTATTCTCTTAAAAATTTTAAACATTTTGGTGTAGGTCTTAACTCACCATGTCTAATTTTTTAAGGCCTGTATATCTATTTTCTGTATTATGAACTGTGAATTTTCAATTTAGTTTTGATCTTCTGCCACCAGACTGTGCTATTTGAGTTTCTCTGCCACCGAGCAATTTTTTTTCTTGGTCTTTATTGTACGAAAAAGGGAAAGCTAGTGCTATAAACCTCCTACTATGCACATGTTCAAGGAAGGGCCTATAGTAGGCAGCCTTACCACTTGAAAGAAGAGTGAATATTATTGCTATTGTGAAGAACACATAAAAAGGTTACAATATATAGAGACTAATGAGCTTAAAGGAATAAACCTAAATCCTAAAAAGATAAGGAATCCTAGGAAGATAAGGAAACAAATAATTACAGATAATTAAGATATCAATTAGAGATTATTCCAATATTTAAAACATTACCTTGCATTTTCAAGAGGCTAATTACATGAATTGAACTAGTGACCTCTGGTCACATGGCGACAACACTAATTGTTGTGTCAACGTTCCCTTCAGCTCTAATTAGCTCACGATATCTGTTGTTCCTCAATTAGTGTTGTTGCTATGTCACCCGGAGGTCATAGGTTTGATCCGTGTAGTCAGCCTCTTGCAAATGCAAGATAAGGCTGCCTGCTATAGCCCTTCCTTGGACCTTAGCTTTATAGCACCATGTCTTTATAGTACAAAACAAAACATATGCATATTTTTTATGTGATTGAAAACAAAGATATATCAAAAACTAGGTCATTTTAATGCCTTGCATGTGTCAACTTTTATATCAGATACAGGGTAAAAGTTATTTTATATCTCAAAGCAGTTAGAACTACACAACTGCTAGACACAGGTTCTAGCTGTTATGAGTGAAAAGTGTGAAAGGCATCTCTAGAACACTCAGTTAAGAAGTTAACTTGCTATAATGATGACAGAAGTCATTGAAGTGGAATTTTTATGAATGTATGATGAACATTTTCAGACATGTCAATTGGAGCTTAGTTTCAGCTTGTGGCTTTGATTTTGTGGTTGAAGCTGATTTTGGCTCAAGTTAGCATGACTAGCCCAAGGCATTATAGGCTGTTAATTTTTTGTGTTGAGAGTGCATTTTTAAAGTATATTAAATTGAAATTGTCCATGAAATAAAGCCAAATCAATCTTTACAAATGATTGACGGTTATGATCATTCTACTTGCTGTATTCACAGCACCTCCCAATTTTTCACTATGGCCTATTAGGAAACTGAGACGAGGTGCAAGAAGCCTTTTTTTAGATCATAGTACATCCCCTACTTTGTTTTCAATGAGTTGGGTCTGTCAAGTTAATAATGGTATAGATGCTAAACTTATCTATTTGTGTTTGTCTTGTCATGCATTAACACCTCGACACATTATTGTTTACTTTCAGATTTTGTCCGTGACTTTGGATGAATGGTCAGGTGATGAAATAGACTCAATGATTGAAGTTGGAGGAAATTCTTCCGCTAATTCAATTTATGAGGCTTATATTCCGGAAGGATATACAAAACCTGGGCCAGATGCCAGTCACGAGCACCGTGCAAAATTCATCCGGTTAGACATGTTTTCATGTACACTTTGCACTGCACATCTACCGTCCTTTGCATCATTGGCTTATTTTAAAAATCTATTGTTTTTCTGGTCATCATGAAGTAGGTAAAGTTGTAGGCTACCTTGAATGATATTGATATGAATTTCTGTCCTCTCACCCCAATTTTCTTTCCTCTTCTCATGTTTTTTTACCATTTGCTGAGTCATTTATTTTCTTCAGTTTCTGCCACTCTTTTAAATCACAGTCCATTGTCCTTGGCTGAGCATTGATTAATCAGCATGATCTCAGGACATTGTTTATGGTAGCATCATCAATGGTACAAATCTGGTCAATGCTCAAGTTAAGAGTGGCATTTTAATTGTGACAATTTTTACTGCAGGTCAAAGTATGAACGTCAAGAATTTTTAAAACCTAGTTTGCGCATTGTGTCAGGAAAAAGCACTCTTCAATCAAGTTTTTCGAAAAGGATTATGGATAGTTTTCGAAGTACTAGTAGTTCACATATGGTAATTATATTTTACATTTTAGTTCCTTTGATTGTAGAAGATGTATTAGTTTGTTGACCATAAGTTGAGTTAGCATATCAATGTGAACTAGATTTCCACCGAGTTAAATTGTTGTTGTGCCCAGAAGAAAGTCTTGTAATCACGATAATTTTATATAGACGAGGCTTGCTGCATGCATCCAACTTTACTACTTTGGTAGTCTTAGAGTAGTGCATGATTGTATGCGTACACGTGTTCTGTTGATGACTCAGCACTGAGCCAATCCTGTTAGACTGTTACAACTGTCTCAAACTGTTGTAACAGCTAACAAATTCATTTAGTTGTCATATGCAGTTAACTGTTATCCAACTATAAATATATATACTGCTGAGTAAATCAATAAATTAATTCAGTTTTGACTCCAACAAATGATTAAGAGGAATTTCATTTTCTCTCTCTGCACTTTCTCTCACCTTTGCTCTCTTTTTCTCACACTTTATGGCAAAGTTCTGATTCCATTAGGTAGCCATGGAAATGAAATTATTTTCATGAGTGGTTTCCTTGGATGTTTGACTGATATTGATGATGAAAACAGGAAGGAATGGTAGAATTTATTGGAATGTTGAAGGTGAAAGTAATTAAAGGCACAGATTTAGCTATCAGAGATATGAGGTCCAGTGATCCGTATGTCATCTTGAAACTTGGAAAACAGGTTGGTTGTTCTCATTTCTAGCATATATATGCTTTGGAAACTATTGCTCTTTATCTTTTATTTTTAGCTGAAGAATAATATATGATGATAATTTCCTTTCTGAATTGACTTGGGTGCTATTGCCTTCAGACTGTACAGACCAGTGTAATAAAAAGTAATTTGAATCCAGTCTGGAATGAGGAGCTTATGCTGTCTGTTCCTCAGCAATTTGGAGCATTGAATTTGGTAAGGTTGAATTTTATCTTGTCTAGTTAAAAACCGGAAACGGATTCTCTGTATATCCTGTTATAAACATCCTAATCACTAAAGAATATTGGGTTCCCCTTTCCTAATTCGTCAATAATGTCTGACTCCTTTTGCATTGTAAAACCAGATCTATATATGGGCTTCCAAAAAAGTGCTTTTTATGTCTTGCTTATTTTAGAAGTGCTTTTTACTAAAGCAAACACTAATTAGATTTTTTTTAAAAAAATTTGTTTTTGAAAAAAATATTTGGCTTTTGACTTCTGTTTTTTTTTTAGAAGCTAAATTTTTTTTTTTTTGAAACTTAAACAGACATTTTTATAGAAGTGTTTTTTTTTCCTTTAAAAAAACAGCTTTTGGAGGAAAAAAAGCCCATCCAAACGGGCTCTTATATCCCTCAACCAAACCCTATTCAAGGCTTGCTTCTCTATTACATCCTTGCTCACCATTGAAAATTAGATAATGTTCTTCACCACCCATCTCTTATGGGACTATAGTTTGTAATTGGTTCCAAGGGCTTTGTAGAAAGGAAACATGAATTTTTGGTAAAGATTGGAACAAGAGAAATAAACAGTAAGATGTCCATATCCATGTCTTGATGTTCCTCATTTAAAACTTTCCTGAATCAGTTGGTTTATTGCCTACTATAAAGGATATAAGTAGATAATTTCCTCACCATTGATTCTCCACCTATTGATATGAATTTTCTCCCATGCCAACTCTAGCTATCTACAGTCTAGTGACCTATTTTTCTATTACACCACAGAATTTAATGTCTTACACTGATCAACGTGATGTAAGGGAAAGAGGAAAAACGGTTCAATATTGCCATCTTTTGGATTTAGCTTAAAAAAAGGGTTGTATACATATTAATATTGATCAAAGGACATATACCCTTAGAATTGTAGTCCCCTACATCACTTTTCAAGTGCCCCTCACGTTACATATGCGGGGAAGTTATCACGGTTTAGTGTATGGTTATTTTAACATGCCTATGTTCTTGTTCTTTTCTGTTGTCTATCTCTTTGCTAATGTAGCTCTGACCTATTAATGAGTTTAAGATAGAAGAAGAGTTGGAGGCACATCTAGATGTAGTTCTTCAAGTCATATTACTTTTCTTAATCTTCATAACCCGAACATATAGTAATAATGGGATTTAGGTAGGAAAGAGGAAAAGAGAGAACAGAGTCTCTTAATAATATAATGTAGATAGATATGGTGTTTTATGATGATTATGATACAAAATACTAACCCAGTAACCTAATAGTCTCTTATTTATTCTAATGATTAAATACTAGTCTAGTATTATTGGTATAAACCTAAGCCCACTTGTAAAATAAGACTGCTAATCCTAATTAATTAAGGAAACATAATGAAATCATTAGTCTTATTGTCTTAGTGGTAATGAAATTACATGAAAAAATGCATAAGATTGCTTCCTCAATTAGATAAATAATTGATTCCTCAATATGATAATTGATTGCACTAGCCTACGATTTGATGTTAGTGAACACCTTTTTTCAAAAAAGGGAGTCACACCTGATCACTTATCATAGTGGCCATAATCGTAGTCAGATTGATTTCTTCCTGGCTAGAAGAGAAGATAGAACTTCTTGTGTCGAATGTAAGGTCTACCCTGGAGAGTGTGTTGCTACGCAACATAAGCTGGTAGTCTTGGATGTTCGGTTCAACAAAGTACGTACAATGAAGAAGAGGGCTCAGAATCCAAGGATAAGGTGGTGGAAGCTTAAGGAGGGAAAAGAGAGAGAGTTCAATGATAGAATGTTGCACGAAGGACCTTGGGAGTTTGATGGAGGAGTAAATGCAATATGGAATGAGATGGTTAAGTGTATTCAAAATTTGGGACGGAGGGTGTTGGGAGAAAGCAAAGGAAATGGATTTCATACAAAGGAAACATGGTGGTGGAATGGAGAGGTGCAAGAGGCAATTAAACATAAGAAGGAGTGCTTTAGATCTTTGCATAAAAGTCCCAGTGAAGAGAACCTGCAAAAGTTTAGATTGGCGAGAAAAAATGCAAAGAAAGCAGTGCGAGAAGCGAGAGGCAAGGTTTTCGACGAGTTGTATAAAAATCTTGGGAGCAAGGATGGTGAAAGAGGTATTTATAAACTTGCAAGGATAAGGGATAAGAAAAGTAAAGACCTCACTCAAGTTAGATGCATCAAGGATGAAAATCAAAAACTTCTGGTGAGAGATGAAGATGTAAATGAAAGATGGTTGAAATACTTCAACAAGCTGTTTAATGGGGATGGAGATACAAGCGAGGTGGACTTAGAGGACGCGTATGATGATATGAATAGAAGATTTGTACGCAGAATTAATACACATGAAGTTAAGGAGGCTTAAAAGAGGATGAAGACTAATAAAGCCTTGGGGCCTGATGGTGTCCCTATTGAAGTGTGGAGAGGCCTGGGGGATGTGGCAATAAAATGGTTGACCAATCTTTTTAATAAGATTCTCCAGACGAATAAGATGCCTGATGTATGGAGGAAAAGTATGATTGTGCCTATCTACAAAAACAAGGGAGATATACAAAATTGTTCAAACTATAGAGGCATTAAGCTAATGAGTCATACTATGAAGTTGTGGGAGAGGGTTATTGAACATCGCTTGAGGAGAGATACCAAGGTTTCTGTAAATCAATTTGGATTTATGCCAGGAAGATGTACCATGGAAGCCATTTTCTTGATGCGACAACTAATGGAAAGATACCGAGAAAAGAAGAAGGACTTGCATATGGTGTTCATAGACCTTGAGAAAGCATACGATAGGGTTCCAAGGAAAGTTTTATGGTGGATCCTGGAGAAGAAAAAGGTTCCATTAAAGTATGTAAAGGCAATCAAGGATATGTATGATGGGGCTACTACATGTGTAAAAGCTTGTAACGGATCATCAAGTTATTTTCCTATCACGGTAGGTGTACACCAAGGGTCGGCTCTAAGTCCTTACCTCTTTGCCTTAGTTATGGATGAACTAACAAAAGATATTCAAGAGGAAGTGCCATGGTGTATGCTTTTTGCAGACGATATTGTGCTTATTGATGAGAGCAAGGAGGGTGTTAATAGAAAACTTGAATTGTGGAGAAGCACATTGGAATCCAGAGGATTCACATTAAGTCGAAGCAAGACTGAGTATCTGAAGTGTGAGTTTTCTCTGGTACAAGATGAGGACCAAGAACCTGTGCATCTAAATGGTCAAGAGGTACCCAAAAAAAATGCTTTTAAATACTTGGGCTCCATTTTACAAAACGGTGGAGAGATTGATGAGGATGTAAATCACAGAATCAGAGCAGGGTGGATGAAATGGCGTAGTGCATCTGCATTTTTGTGTGACCGCAAAATTCCCCTGAAGTTAAAAGGAAAATTCTATAAAACGGCAGTACGACCGACAATGCTATATGGAGCGGAATGCTGGCCAGCACATAGGCAACATGAGCATAAGATAGGATTAGCAGAGATGAGGATGTTAAGGTGGATGTGTGGTTACACAAGGATGGATAAGATAAGAAATGAAGATATTCGACGAAAGGTCGGAGTAGTACCGGTAGCCGAGAAGATGAGAGAACATAGATTGAGGTGGTTTGGGCACGTGATAAGAAGACCCATGGATGCTCCTATAAGAACAGAAGTTTGTTACCAAAAGCTAAACACAAAAAGAGGCAGAGGTAGGCCGAAGCTTACTTGGGGGAAAGTAGTAAAACAAGATTTAATGGAGTGGGATATAGATTGGCGGACAGTATGTCTTAGAAAGGAATGGAGAAAAGCTATAAGTATGGTGGAGGGTTAGACCCGCTGTTATTCCTATGTTCCAGATGGTCCCTTTTTAGTCTTTTTCCCCTTCATTTCCCCCACTTCTTCTTGTCCCTTTCTTTTTTACTTTTATTTATTTATATATACATATATTTTTATTTTATTTTATTTTATTTTATTATTTTATTTGTGTATTTTTATTTATTTATTAATTTATTTATTTTTTATTTTTTTTATTTTTTATTTTTTTATTTTTTACTTTTTTTTCAACCGTTTTGTATCTTTCATGTGGGTTCATCTACCACCGACCCCAATTAATTTGGGATAAAGGTGTTGTTGATGTTGATGTTGATATTACGAAGGTGTCCTGAGATATTCTAAAATACTCGGAGACACTCTAACTCAAGGTGGATGGACGCACCAATTTCTCTTTGAAGTTACAAATTAGATGTTCCAAATATGAGAAAAAACCAAGAAAACAACTAGCACGAAACTCCGAACTCCTAAAACACTTAGGACCTGACTTTCATGCTTCCTGCTTTGGTTCATTTTATCTATAGCTTGTATTGAATTGAAATCTTACCCTTATTATATATCTATAACTTGTGTTAAGTTTTCCTACATATCATATGGTTAGTTTGGAGCTAGGTTTCTGTTTATAGCCTCCAGCAATTTGGGGTTTCTTGTTTGGAGGTGGATATTTGGATCTTCGTGTATGATGCTTCTTGCTATGTGTGTTTGTTGTGTGCTTTTTTTTTTTGGTATATCAAAAGATACAAAATTGATTTCTTGTATAAGAAAATGGCGCTTGATCTTAACAGCTGCTACATTGAATTGCAGAAGGTATTTGATCACGACTTGTTTTCAGCTGATGATATAATGGGAGAAGCAGAGCTTGATCTTCAGCCACTGATTACATCTGCAATGGCATTTGGAGATGCTGGAATGTTTGACGATATGCAAATAGGAAAATGGCTGAAATCCCATGACAATGCACTTATAGATGATAGCACAGTCAATATCATTGATGGTAAGGTTAAACAAGAGATGTCAATCAAGCTACAGAACGTTGAATCTGGAGTATTAGACTTAGAACTCGAGTGGATACCTCTTGATCATTAGGTGTATTACTGTTATGAACCTATCCCTTCTCTTGAAGAAATATCTTTAATAATCTTCTACTTTTGGCCCATTATCCTATAACTAAACTTTCTGTGTCCTTTTCTCTAATTAATTTTTATAATTGAATTATTTGACCAAACTTGGTGAACTTTATCTGTAGAAAAGAATGAGTGAACATATAATTTTGCTCTATTTGATCACCACAGATTAATTGTGTGTGCGCATATGCCATTTTGCGTGTCTGTGTTTGAACCGGTGTATGCAGAAACATATGCTGTTAACGTTTTCTCAAAACTATGGGTCTGTTTAATTATGTTCTGGTTTTTTCTTCTTCTTAAAACTGTTTTATAGAATAGTTAAAAAAACATGTGGTTTTTTATTTATTTTTTTGTTTCGAAAGTTAAAAGTAAAAAAAAAAAAAAACTGAGACATGTTTTTTAAATTTGATTTTAAAAAAAAAAATTTGTTACAATTTTTAAAATATTTTTAACAAAATAGGCCTTATTAAATGAGTTTCTTTTTCTTCTAAAAACCAAAAAATTATTTTTAGAAACAGTATTCAAGTAGGCCTATATTTTTCTGTGCTTATATTTATATGTTTTCCTTAACATTGAATGTTAAACATTACTCTTACTCTTACTCAAGTGTTTTACTTCCATTTTTGTTTCCCTCAATTTTCTTTTATTAGACTATAGACGAAGTATTCTGAATTTGACCATTTCTTCTACATAAATCTTATGAATTGATGCTTTTCACTTGCTTCTACCCTTCAATAACGGAAGACATGGATGGATCTAGAATTGAAAGCAGCATTCTTGGATTGAATGGAGGAACATTAATTCCAAATCAACGACTGCGTCACAATAAACACATGGATGTTGTATCATTGAGAGCTGCAAGTCCAATATGTACCATTGGAAGGGGTAGAGGTCAATATAGGGGTATCCATTGGAAGGGGTAGAGGTCACTATAGGGGTATCCTTGTCAGCAGAGGTAGAAACCAAGCTAGACAATGACATCTTAGGTATGAGGTCTGACAATGTAAGAGTGAGTTGCAGAGAGGACTCGTGAAATTGACATGGTAACGATATATAAAGATTGGATCCCTTGCTTGGTGATGGAGGGGTTATTTATAGGGGGAGAGGACGTTTTGCTCGCATAAGAGGACAAGCCAGATCAACTCTCATTCAGGAGTGCCATGGGTGCATGGCATTGTTGCTGCAATAGCAATATGGTTCCTGCTATGCTAGTGGCAGTCACTGCTGCGGTAGCTATGGAGAGCAAACACCAATTTAGGGAGTCTAGGAGGGCTCCCTGAGGGAGGTAGCATTCCAATGTAAGACATTTTGATGTCTTACGTTGGGGACACTGTTATGTGGGGACAGAAAGAAAGAAGGGTTGGTAACCCTTAGTCAGCAGAGCTGACATAGATGAGAAGAGGGGGCTTGAGTGTGCCTTAAATCTTAATTGGCCAACTGGTCAAGGCCATCTAGAACATATGCAATATTGTTAACGATAAAGAATCTGCTACCTACCTACAGGCTAAACATCTTTAACTTTGATTTATGTAAAAAAACGAATTATATTTGATTTCATGCTCCTATATGTGTCAAGTATATAAAATTTAAAAGACACCTCAAAGTTAAGTCATTAGGGTTGATTTAGTGATGAAAAATTTGAATAGTTTGTATTAAATTATGTGTTCAATTCTCACCAATATATTAAAAAAAATACCTCAGAGCTAGAAAAACAGACTACATTATGAATTTAATTGATACTTGATTTGGCCATTTATTAATTCTAACTGAGCAAATCGGATATCTGATATCGGTAACCATGCAACTTGATATTTTATTTGGGAAAAAAATACTTTTCCAAATTAAATCATGAAATAATTGAAAAATTTGACCATTCAAAAAATGTTTTAGTGGTGATAGACATTACTTAATTTTTTGCATGTAAACTTTATTTTATGATCCAAATTATTCCTTTAAGGAAAATTAAATTTCTAAATATATTCATAATTCATGCAAAAAGAAAGAAAGAGAGTCCACATAAATATAAAATTAGAATCAAATTAAGCGGCCCGATTACTAAGCGTTCGGAAATTCATATTACGCGTCATTTTTCAAGATTCTCGGAAATTGAATTTCTTTAAATTTTAAATTTTCGAATATTATCATAAACTGAATGTAAAAATCATATTTTTAAAAATTGAGATTTTCGAACAAAGAAAAATTTCTCCTCTACCAAACGCCTCCTAAAATAATTGCACAAATAGCTATATTCAAAGGAAATTGTCTTCTTACGATTGCCAACGAAATGATCATAAAATAGGGATAGGATATTGTGACACCCAAGTTATGTTACACCCAGTCAATCTCACCGTTAGATCGCTTATGTTGATCCAACGGTTATATTTATTTCTATCTTTGTATGGTCATGATTTCCCAAATTTAATATTTTATATTTATTACTACCTTTGTATGGTTATGATTTCCCATATTTAATGCTTTCACTTTAAATTTGGGAAATCATGACCATACAAAGATGGAAATAAATATAACCGTTGGATCAACATAAGCGATCTAACGGTGAGATTGACTGGGTGTCACATGAGTGTAACATAACTTGGTGTCACAATATCCTATCCCAAAATATTTATATAAAAAGTATGAAGTATAAATTTTTAAGTTCTCTCCATTAATGATGACAGTCTCTCTCTCTCTCTCTCTAAAATTTAACATGATTATGCATGATTATGATCTTTGGACAGATTAGCGGTGGAAGATTCACGTGAGTCAGAACTCAATTTCCTACGAATAAAGCCACTGGGAATTTTTGGCGGATTAGACTGCCAGATATTTCCAACTTATTTTTTTAGCAGTATTGATGCGTGGCTATTTTTCGATGGAGTGCTTTTTCCAACGTTCGATATTTGCCAAAAATAATGTTTTGCAACGGATTTTATGTATTTTTCAGCTTCTACTATCTGCCAAAAATAATATTTTGCGATGGGTTTTATGTATTATTTGGTAGACTCGTCCACTTGAAAAACAAGATATTTTAATGTTGCTGTTAGAAGTGCTAAATTATTTTTAAAAGCAAATAATATTTTGTTTAAATAGACAATTGTTTATGAGTCCGTGTGGTTGCTAGTATAGATATCTTGAATTATCTGTAGTAAATTGTAAATTGTATCCTTGGCCATAGTAAAAATTGAAGGAAATTTTGTTAAAATTTTTGAAAATTTCATTTTGAATTGTTTTGCAAAGAATGTTAAATATCGATAAGTTCGTAGGCTTGCATGATTTAGCAAGTCTATATTCCATGAGCGCACAACTTAGTGTTATTATATTATTAATATGAGCATATTTTTAATGTTACAAGAATAAGTACTCTTTTATTAAAAATAGAAAAAAATAGGACTTCAATTCAACAGTATTATTTATACAAGAGTGGATCAAATAAGTAGAATTAAGTAAATTGTATTTTATTTTTTTCAATTTTAACAATTGATATACTAATTTTTCAGTATTTTGAGAATACTAAACATATACTAATTTAGTAATATCTTTATTGTTAAGTGAAATCATATACTAGTTCCATTAAAATAATCTGAATTCACCTTTTTATTAGTGGGATCATTATAAAAGAAAGTATAATGATTTCTAACTTCTCAATCAGCGTGACAATTCATAGTAGATAAACAATGCACAAAATTATACACGACGAAACTCAAAACTAAATCAACAAAAAAATAAAAAAGTAAAATAAATAAATAAATAAATAAATATATATATATATATATAAAGCACAACCACAAATCTAAACCACTAATTACCCTTTACATGCAACGCAAAATCAACGGCAAAGCAAGAACACAATCTCAAGGGTCGCGTACCACTAACTGCAATTTGTTGTCGTCATTATTTTCACCGTGATCCTCATTAATATTAACATTATCACCACGAAACGCTGCGTTTAATTTGTGCTTTCGGTACTTAAACAGATAAATCAAACCTGAAGCCACTAACAGAACCGCGCCTGCCATCCCACACACCAAGCTCGCCACCGTCAGCGCCTTCCCAACGCCGTCTCCGCGGTCGCCGGCGGCAGATCTAAACCACGACGGCGGCGAGGCTTGGCCGGAATTCATTGCCCTGGGAAGCGCCACGTCGGAGGAAGACGACATTGTTGGCGACGAGTTCTCGTTGTTGAAGAAGGATCTCATCTCCGGCGAAGAATGCGCTCCCGCCGGTGACAAGGTTTGGAAGACGAGGCCGTGATCCGATGGCCGGAGCTCCCTGGCTGAAGAATCTCCGGCGAGAATGAGCTCAACAAAGACGGCGAGGGCGAGGGCGAAGGCAACGGCAACGGAGGAGTCCGCCATGAAGATTGAGGTTCGGAGTAGCAGTGGGAAGAATAGGAAACGTTGTGTAAATATATATATATAAACTCCGACAGTGGAAACGGTGCCGTTTTGAAATGAGCAATGTGTGTGTGAGTGTGAGTGTGTGACTTTAAGAAACGTCAAAGAGAACAGTGGGTTTTGTCTGAAGATGGACAATCTGTCGGAGGAAAAGGTTCGTCGTCTCGTCTCGCCGCTCTCTTCTTTGTCCTTTTACTTCTCACTCCTCACTTTCTTTTTCTTTTTTCTTTTTTTCTTTTTCTAAGGTTGGTTGGATTGGATTTTGACTTCTGGTTCTATTATTTTTAGATGATAAGTTATGCCTACTAATATCCGAGGCCAAAATAATTGTCCTCATAAATGACGTAATCTTATCTCATTTTATATTATAATTGTTTTTTAATTGATCAACGATTAAGATTTATTAAATTTTATTATGAATTTTTAATTAATTAATAAATTTGATTCAATAAATCGTAACCGTTAATTAACGGAAATCAATAATTAAAATCTAAAATAATATAAAATTATATCTTTTTAAAAGGATAAACATTTTTTTCATATCCAATAATATTATATTAAGGACGTGTTTGGTATAAGTTTTTGTTTAGATACGAGGGAATGTGTGGATGGCACAATTGAATTTGGCCAGTTTTGGTTTAAGTTTTTTTAAAAAAAGCATGGAAATAGGAAGCAACACTTCATAGTTGTTTTTTTTGGATGAAATTAACTATTCTAAAACACCACTTAAGATGTGGTATTTTAGGATAGGTGGAGAAGTGAAAAAAGGGTGCCATTTTCATGACCGAAATGACCCTGCATGCGTGTAAAGTGAGGGACTTCAGTTGTTTTTTTACAACCGGGGTATTTTGATCAATTCAACCTATTTTCCCATCACTATTTTACCTTCAATCAAACATAGACTTTGCAAATTTACATAAATTTCTCCAGTAATATTTTGGTGAACCAAACATCTTTTTTTAAACTTTTCCATCAAACTCATTTTCCTACCATTTTTCCTTTAATTATGTTTCCTCAGTAAAAAAAAGTCTCATCTACCAAATGCCCCATAAAATTTTAATACGAAAAAAAAATAGTAAAAGTTAGTTAAAATTCTTATTTAATGATATCAGAGAGTGTTAGACAATATAAACATGGTAAAAAATATAGTTAAAATAACATATTTTATATATATATATAAACTTTGGAAGTTATAAGTTGGGAAATTAAAATTTGAAGTTATTAATACAGGCTAAAACTCCTTGGACAAAAGGAATAAAAACCAAAATTATATATATTTTTTATGTTTTGAATGTTATTAAATGTTGTCATTTTTTTAATGTATATTGTTCATTTTATTAAGGATGAGCTGATGTAGATCCAATGTGAGGTTAAAATATACATGTCGTTAATTAAGTTTTTTTTTTTAATACCAACTTTACCCCGAGTACTTTAATAAATTTTAATTCTTTAAGTCGGTTATAAATATGATTCTTACTTAATCACAATTAAAACTTTTTTTACTTTCTATTAAGTTTCTCGTTTGAGGTACGTAGTTTTTTTTTTTCCAAGCCGATTTAAAAAAGAATTATATATCAAAAGTAAGTATGTGTGAGTATATGTATATCAATAGAATAATAATATTTGTTGTATGTGTTGGTAATTTTTAATGATCAAGTCAATATGAAGACAGAGGAGAAAACATATTTTTTTGTCACGCACATGAAAAAAAAAAATTATTTAAGACAGACAAAAGTTAAGAAAAGGGATGCGTAACTTGCGGACTTAATTGGAAATATGCAAGATGTTTTGTATCAATTACTAACCTGCATGTACCCTCCAGATTCTAGATCTATATCTTTAGTGCTTTAATCGTATTCCGTTATAAATAAAATATGGGAAATGCATTTGTCACGTTACATGATAAATGAATAGTTGTTATGTTAAGAAAATGATAAATTAGATAATATTAAAAAAGTGAAAGGGCAGATTATTCAATAAATTTAACTTGTCTTTTTCTTAACATAACAACTATTCATTTGCCATGTAACATGACAAATGCATTTCCCATAAAATATTAAGGTTACCCTTGTAATATTTTATCAGTCATCCTCGTACATTGAATTAGGGTGACTTAATCTTAATTTGTTACCTGATAAAAAATAATGTATGTCATTCTTAACTCTTTTTTTTTTAAAATTTAAATTATTTTGAATTAATTAACTTTAAAAATTTATTTATTTAATTTATATATTTTATATTTTACCTGATTTTTTTTTTTGGTAAATATATTTTACCTGATTTAATTATATTTATCTTTTATCGTAATTTTAAATGCTTTTCTTAAATAATTTTACTTTTAACTTATATTTTTTTTTAATTTTTAGTTAAATTTAAAAATATAGATGCAATGCATGAATAATAATTTATTTTATATAAAATGTCAATTTTCCTTGTGAATAATATCTGCAATAATGAATTAAATATGTAATATACACCAATTAAAATATAGAATACAATGAAAGTTTGTTTCTTTATTGTAAGCCGTACGAATAAAATAAACTGGAGAAAAGATTCAAAGTAACCGTGGAGTGCCACGAGAAATTCCAAAGGAAAATTGCGAAGATGCTGTCGGGTTTTACTCCCATTACAGAATGGCTTTTGTGAAAGAAAGTTATATAAGGAAGGAATAGTACAAAAGATAAAAGATAAAAAATAAAGTAACAAGGCAAAGCCACATTCGAATATGAATTAAAAAGATACAATGCAAGCCAAAATGTTCGATCGGGAGTTGAATACTTTCTATGAAATCATGTTTATATATGTGTTTTATAATTCTCATTTAACATGAGAATTACAATTTTCCTATATACTTTTTGATTTTTGTGCTGACATGGATTCTACATATTTTTTTTTCTAACACATGGGCCTCACTTGTTTTTTATCTCTACAACATAAGATTTTAATTCTCTTTCAACATAAGAATTATAAAACCCTTTATATATAGGCGTTGTTTTTATCCTGTTGCAGCAAAAAGCAACATCTTTCGTGCTGATACATCGATTGTGGTTATTGTTTTATTTTGTTTTTTCATTTTTTTACTAATGGGACCCACAAGTTGTTATTAGTGCCGGAATGATTTTAATTTTTTCAGTAACATAACATTTATAATTCTCATATATATATATATATATATATATATATATATATATATATATATGATAACAAGAGACAAATTTATATTATCCAATCTTAAAATGATATTGTTTTAGGATCTGATAAAAAATATAGGGTATTTTATAAGAAGAAATTAATTTTTCTTTCCAATTCCGAAACCGACATTATTTTAGAGTTTTCGTTCTGAAGCTACATTTTCGTTCTTTTCTCCACACCACGTTAATCCACTTAATAGGTAGAAAAATCTGTCTCTTCGACTAAGTATCATTTCCATTATTTTGGAAGTTTAACCTTTTTAAATAATATGTCAATTCATCATGACTAATAGTTAAAAATATTTATACCGTTCTAAAATAAAATTTATTTTAAATTGAATTTAACTTTAATATTGTTCTGACGGAATAAAACTTTTTTACATTTTCATATGATTAATAGTTTATTAACAGATTATAAAAAAGTTTACCTATTCACAACTGTTATTTTGAAAGTTCAATTTTTTTTAATACAATGATGACATTCAAGTTTAAATATATAACATGATGTAAACTACTCAATTTTTTCATTATTTACTCCCTCTTAGCGATTCGTGACCTGGACCATCTTATACGAGATATTGGATCCAACATGTATACGGCTCAAGAGGCCCAATAATCAATACTTAAAGGTTAAGGAAATGCATCTATCGCGCGTTAATGTCATCCTCCAGACGTATAGTTACAGAGTGAGTAACTAAGAATTTTACGGCCTCCCTAATAATCAGTAGCCAAGGAATAGACACGTAACTCCAGCTATGCCTAGGAGTCATAACCATAGCTAAGCATCCCACATAAGGGATAGGTTACACAAGTCACTTCAGCCAACCAATAAAATTAAATGAGATCATATTGAGGCGGCACAAGCAGAGCAGTCAACTACTATATAATGAAGGCGCCGAGCTCGGGTATGATTTTTTATCCATTTTTATTTCAACTCATTGATCAAATACTGACTTGAGTATCAGAGTATCTTGCAAGTAAAATCCCTCATATTTGTCCTAGCCAAACAAGACTAGCTAGCACCAGACTTTCCATCCCACAGTATCTGACATGGATTTGGAATTTCTCATGTGAAAAAATGATCATGTGATCGTGTTATTTGATCACAATCACTCATTAATGATGAGATAAGAGAAAGAAATATGTATAATTTTTAAATGAATGATTGTGATTAAATAACATAACCATATACAATTTTTCCATATGAGAGGATTCAAATCCATCTGACATAAGTGTTTCTCAATAACATCCATTACAGAAAAGACCCAGATTACTATTGGATCAGTGTGTGCTCCATTGTATCGAGGAATTGATCATCCATTGTATCGAGGAATTGATCAATTTGAAAGTTCAAATTTTTAGTATTGCTTCAATACATCATTGGATGGTATTTTAAAAATCTCTACCTTATATATTAAAATTAAAATCTTGAATTCTATGGCAAAAATTGAAATAATAACAAGTCAAAATTAACATATTGTGAATGAAATTAAATCATATAATTATCAAATTTTCAATTTAAACCTCCTTGTTGTACAATATTAGAATTATTAAAACTATGTTTAAATTAATCTGGTTTGTATAAAAAAAATAATTTTCATACAAACATTCTCTTTAGAATATTTTATTATAAGTTTTTGTCAAAATAAAATTAATAAGCTAGTTTACACATGCAGTAAATATTTACATATTAAATCAAAAACTCATAATAAAAAATTCGAACATTTACGGAATATTTCCTTATAGAATTAAAATTCATAATTATAGACA